ATAGAAATTCGCCATTGTATAGGACAATTGAAAAATTAAGACGATGGCGCAACCGCGCGTGACCACGCACGCACCTCCCGGCAACCGCATAGGTTTTCATCTCTACTCGAATGGTTTTTCTGCTTACACATGACTGCAATTAGACATGGAAGAGACTGAGTTGAGCGTTAGGGTGATGCCGTTTTTATGAGTGTTTTCTGCTCCTGTGGGCGCAAAGACCGCAGTCAAATCCGTCTCACGATTTACAAACGAACTAAACAAGTCATGCTCAAGCGACCGTTCATGGTCCGCAGCGCCTGAGCAGTCCATGCGTTCAACAAATCTATGATACTATCGAACGCATTCATGGATACTTTTGCTTCGAACTACCTTCTGAAGTAGAAATCGACACCTCGCCTGTAACTGTAGCAACAAAAAGCATTGCTAAACTCACCCTTTTGTATGTTGTTGAGAACTGCAATGGAAGAATGCGATAGCAGAATCCTGATATCTCTGTGTAGTCAGCCGAACACGGATCTTGATTAGATAAATCTGGAGCATTTGTGAAGTCAAGCTAGGAATAAGCCAATCATATAAACAACCTGGAATGATTGTTGAGGTGGGGAAAAACTTTGATGCTTTGCTATACTTGATTGTACCGGTGCCAATAGAACCTGTCTGTGCAGACTGAAATTAGTATCAATTTTACTCACAAGGAGAGGATACTTAGTCGAAAGCACCAATCCAGATGAGGCATATACCATCTTAAAGCGCTTGAAACGCTGATTCCAAATCTGCAGTTTCTAGCTGCGGAGCGGTTTTGTAGAGGGAGTTATGAGGGGTGTTTCCTCTGGGGTTGAGGCACCCTCCATCAGGTCTCCCCCTACCTATGAGCACTGTAGAGGAGTACCAATTGTGGCAACTGACCTAGTGGTAAGTGACGTGCTTGATAAAGAGAGTGTCAAGGTTTTAATCATCTTCGCATGCTAAATTGAACTTCTAAATGGCTTTAGAGCCCTAAAGCATGAAACTTCTGATGATATTGATACTAATCGAAGTTAGAAGTGTTAAAAAATAGAGTAATATGAGTATTACAATCTTTACTGTAATCTTCATTCAAGTTACTTACCATTAGGTCAGTTGCCATCAGCTGATACTCCTCTACAGTGCTTACAGATAGGGGGAGACCGCTGGAGGACGCCTAAATCCCAGAGCGGAGCACCCTTCATAACTCCTTCTACAAAACCGCTCCGCAGCTAGAAACTGCAGATTTGAAATCAGCGTTTCAAGCGCTTTAAGATGATATATGTTTCATCTGGATTGGTGCTTTCGACTAAGTATCCTTTCCTTGTCAGTTCGCTACGCAGCTCGGGGTCAACCTGGTTATTGTTAGGCAGGAGAAGGGGGGGGGGGGAAAGGGAAGTTGTCCTGGCGTCCGAGTCCACCCCAAAAATGGCAGGGATACCAATGAAAAACAGTACCACACGGTTATCCAAATTTCTTCATTTTCGGTTTGTACATCATTCCTAACAAGTCAGCAGAATGCATGCTGGCGGCATGCTCTAATACATGCGAGAATCCCATTGTGCTCCGGTGAGACACCAAATTTGATGTAATCATGCCCCTAAGGGAGCTCTATGATTCAAAAATTTTTGAAAACTTTTGTGAGTGGGGGCAGTGAGCAACTCTTCTCCCCAAGCTGAAATTGTTAGCAGTGTGCCTGCTGAGCTGGACCAAGCCTTTGCTCATATTTTTTTTACTTTTTTACACAAGTTGTACCTTCACTTCGGAAGTCTACACAAGCATAAAATGGCTTTGTACTCTCCTCTAGGCTTATCTATAGCCCTCAGATAATATCTATTGGCCGTACAACTTGCTTCTATCGAAGAGCGCGCCCCGTAAACAAGGAATGTTTTGTTTTCACCGTATGTTCAGCGTTCTTCCCTTTTTCTTTCCCTTATTTCTTTTAGTTGCTGGGGTACTCATGAGTTTTGTTATCATCCGAGGTAGAGAAGCATTGGCAGATGGAGGGAGTAGGAAGCAGAGAGATCAAGAAAGTAGGAAGTTTGATACAGAAAACGAAAAATGGGGAATTATCAGTGGCCAAAAAGGACTAAGTAAAATTTAGCAAAACCGTGGGGGACTTTGTAGCATAAACCCATTGGTTAAAGCTCATCCAGCCTTTATCTTAATCTTAATCTTTATCTGATACGCTCAAAGGCGTGCTGGAAATGTACCAATGTAACCAACAAAACTACATGTAACGGACTAACCAAAACTAAGGAAGAGATAGAAAATGGAAAACCAAACAAAAAACACTACAACAGAATACGATAGTAACGGCCATGGTTTTGTTGGCGGCATGAATGAAGTAACATTTGGATTTCTTAGGTAATGCTTGCAAATTCATGTACTATTGAATTACTTGGAACCACAGTTAAATAGGGTATAGGCCATCCGCGCTGCGCACGGAGAGCGACGCTGTTGCGTACACTGAAGGCAGTTCACGACTGGAAGAAGCGCAGAGAAAAACAGGCGGCGAGAGTGCGCGAGGAAAGAGAAGTGACGCGCAATACACACCTTGCGCACTCTCCGCGCCCTGCGCGGACGGCCTATATAGGCAGTGATAACGTCATCGCATGTTTCTGAAGAACAAAACAAAAAGCTATGCTGTCCCCGATGACCATTGCACCTCTAAAGCAGAACTGCGCTTTTTCGGGAGCTATAACTAGGAAAAGAGAAGAGAGTTTGAGGAGCTATTTTCTTATTCAGTAGGACGTGGATGAAAATCATGTGAAAGGTCAAAAAGTTATTTTAGAAAAGAAACTTGTGGTCAGACTTCTAAAGGGAGTATGCGTTAAACGTCACAAGTTGCCACGGTTATGAAATGATTTTCTTGATAAAGGCTCACCCGGTACTGGGACGACATGGAAGATCGTGTGAAGAAGTAGTCGACCGTATTCCAAACAGTCTGGAGAAGAGTCCATGCTCCATAATGAGGTAATGATATATTACTTGTCGTGGCCGATGTGTCATACTCATCCACGGTTGCTTTAGTCGAGCTCATGCTCAAGACGTGCTCGCTCTTAGGATATGGTGAATGGGACGAGGTCAGTGAATTTATGTATGCCATAAAAGACGATAAAGGCATAGAATTTGATGTAATTGTATCATTAGCGTACTTGAATTTTGAAACATTTGCATTCACAGTGATCGCTTTTGTCACTTCTGCAATCTCCTTTGTGGTACTACTGTAGTCTGTTTTCATCCTCAATAATGAATGGAAGTACGTAGCTCCACTAGACTTCGCTGCTTTGTCAAAAGCATCTTTAGCTTTTCGTGTGTTTGAGCTCAACTCTGTGAAGTGCTTTGGGAGGGTATAAAACTTGATGACTTCATCACGCGGATCAAAAGTTGGATTGACTGACGTTGTTTTCTCCCAGTTATCTTGAATGCTTGTTCCACTGCCACTTTCGCCTCTAACAAGGCTGCCACCGTAGGCCTCCAAATTTTCACTGGTCCCTATTCTGAACAATGTACTTTTCTGAGCACTTGTGGACTGTTTCAAAGAGGTGGACTGTTTCGAAGAGTCATCGGAGAAAGTCACGCTATCAGATGTGAACAAATTTCTGTCGCTTTGTACAGAAGAAATGCGAGATCCTTTTTCGAGAACGCCACTGTCAATGTTCGAGGAAGAAGTCATTTCTGCAGTTGGCTGCGTTGATGTCGATGTGGGAAAGATACTTATTCTAGAGTTTGAAGATGATATGAAAGAAGACTTTGTTTGAGAAAACTCTTCTATGCTAGAGGTTCGTAAAGAAAATCTGTCTGATGTAGATTTCATCGAAGAGGTGTCTTTCAAAAAAGTCGATAAAGTGAAGTGTTTGTTTGAGGAAATCTTCTGCATCGATGTCGGAACTTGTACGATGAAGCTGCTGGACTGAGGTTCAGTCTTAGACTGGTATGATGAAGAAGGTCCAGGCGTAGTTGAAGGAGATTTTAATAAAATTTCGGATAAAGTTAGACGAGGGACAGAATTTGTTTCTTTTGCAAGTGTTGAATATCGTGATGCCTTACTCTCAGAAAAAGCACCTGCTCTAAACGAAGTTGACGAAGACCCGCTTTCAAACTTAATGCTATATGAACTTGCTAATGGTGTTTCGGTTTCCTTTGTTTCGAGTGTAGGTTCGTAAACTCGTGATCCAGTGGTGGCCATCGATACAGATTTTTTGCTAAACTCAGCGATGAACGTCGATGGTTGGGCAGCGGTGGAGTCATCATGAGCATTATGATAGGCGATAGAAGCATGTGTTGGTATGATTTTCATAGCAGGCATTTTTCTTGTTGTTACAGTCCCAGGATCTGCTTCAAGGGAGGTAGATGATCCAATAAAGGCATCGCTTGGATCAATTTCCTTAGGGCTTTCTGGTCTCGTCGTATATGAGGTCATTTTCGAGGAGTCAGATTCCACATTATTGCCTAGCGTGTACAATTTTGTTGTTGTGGTTTCAGACTCAGTTTGCTTTTCCAATACGTAGGCTGAGCTGCTAATATCATTCTGGTCGCTTCCGTTCACCTCTTGGTAAGTGTCAATGGTAGAATGCGCATCAGCGCTGCTAAAGCTTTCCTTGGTAGAGGAGACTTTGTTATTTGGCTGATTTCCATTACCAGACTGTTTTACAGTTGTCGTGACCTGGTGCACCAATTCTTCTGACATTATCGGGCTCTTCCGTTCTGGAAAACTGAATGAACTTTGCTGAAACAATGTACTAGATAGATGAGATTTAAACAGACTAGACGTAGGCGGTGATTTCCCAGAAATTGAGGTGTCATGTGAATCACGACTGATTTGGCTGCTTTCTGTTCCTGTGATGGCAAAAAATGGGCGTTTTTCTGTCGTTATCATTCCATCACTCTTGTACAATGAATACTGTTCGTTTTTGGTTGCATGGCTCGACTGAGATTGGAACAAGCTCGTAGTTGTAGCGGAAAAAACGCCAGAGCTTTTTACGGAAGGACTCATGGTTTTTGCAGTTTCTACTTTGTCATTACTACCCGTGGAACCTGAAAATGTACTGAGAAGTTCCGCATTAGTCGACATTCTCGCTGTGCTAGAAGGGTACACAACATCCTTTTGCGAAAAAGTGTCACCGTCTGCGGATGTTATTGCTAGCGTGCCTTCTTTCGTTATTACTGTTGTTGTCGCAGATGCTGTTGAAGATGCTGGAAGGGAAGATGCAGTGCCTGATGTGTCATCTGTTCCTGTAGCTGTCGGTTCAAAAGTTACTGATGGTGTTGTTGCTATTGCCGGCATCAAAGAAATTGGTAAATGAGAAGTCATTGTTGCTGAAGCAGCAACTGCTGCTGTAGCTGTAGCTGAAAGAGAAGGTGCAGAACTCAATGTGTCATCTGTTCCTGTAGCTCTTGATCCAAGTGTTACTGTTTTTGGAGCTGTTGTTGTTAGCGTCGTCATAAAAGGTGATGATAAAGAAGTCATTGTTGCTGTTGTGGCAGTTGGTGTTGCTTTTGTTGCCAATGTTGTCGAAGTTGCGATCGTTGAAGTGGCTGTTGTTATCGCAGTTACGATTGGTGGGGTTGAAATTGCGCTTGTCGCCTCTGCTGTTGCATGAGTTGCTGTAGATAAATTGTTAGTTGCTGTGACTGCAGATGCTGTTATCACTGTTGTTGCTCTTACAGCTGTAGCTGCTGTTGTTACAAGAACGGTAGTGTTGGCTGGCGTGGAAGCTGCTCCTTTTGCTGTTGTTGCTGCTGCTGCGGTGGTCATAATAGTTGAGTTTGTGATTCTTGTTGTAGAGGGAGTTTCCGTTGCAGTACTGAAGGTGAGGTTTACTGACGATGCTGCTGTCGATGTTGCGTTTGCTTTGATTATGGGTGTTGTCACAGATGAACTTGTTGTAATTGAGGTGGTATTCGTTGCTCCCGTGGGGGTTGGTTTCGGCGTCGTTGTTGTCTGCGTTGATGTTGTTGCGAAAGAGGTTTTCGTAGGGGTAATAGCAGCAGCTTTTGCTGCTGTTGCTGTTGTTTTCGTCGTCGTCGTCGGCTTTGTTGAAGCGGTTGTTATAAGTGTTGATTTAGGTTTGGTAGTTGTTGTTGTTGTTGTTGCTGTTGTTGTTGCTGTTGCTGTTGTTTTCGTCGCCGTCGTCGACTTTGTTGAAGTGGTTGTTATAGGTGTTGTTTTAGGTTTGGTCGTTGTTGTAGTTTTTGTTGTTGTTGTTGCTGCTGTTGTTGTTGTTGCCTTCTTCGTGGTGGGAGTTGTTGTAGTTGTCGGTGTTACTGTCGGAGTTGTCGTTGTTGTGCGGGTCGTCGTTTCTGTTGATGTAGTCGAAGCTGTTGTTGTTGTTTCCGCTGTCGTTGTCATTGTTGTTGTCATGGTGACGAATATTGGGTCCAATCCCCTGGAAATGTTGTGGCATTCTGCGGGTTCAAAATCAGTATTGTTTTCGCATTTGTCCGTGTTTGGACATGGACACGCTCCGTGATAATACAAGTCAGAGTCTACCGCATAGCCTGCTGTGAGATTCTGAAACCATTCTATGACGAACTCATCACTGGAGAATGTGGTATCGTTGCAGAATTGCAAAGCATCCGTTACATTTTCGATTAGGGACCGCGACCATTCAACTGAGCTCCTATAACAACTGGGAAATACGCAATTCGTGTTGCCTGTTTTAGTGTACGTCGTAAGCCCTTGCATGGCATTTGCGCTGAAAACTCCGCAGCCTGCGTCCGCATCTGAAAAGGAGGAAATCTCAGTCATCTCTACCCGCCTCTATTTTTGGAAATCAAAAATATGAAAATCTTTGTTTTTATAAGTTGCTAGTTAATGTCCTTTTACCAGCATTCGTACTGTACCAATATGATTTGCACTTCGTGTTTGGAATTGTTTAGCAGCCTGCAATTATTTTTGACTGTGTTAGTCGTATAATTCACACAAAATTTTCAAAACGTATGTCTGCATACCATACTGTTGAAGGAACCAATTGGTTTTATCATGTGATGCTCATCATAACCAACACAAGACAAATACTTCATTAAAACTTATTGTCTGTATTGGAATTATGTCATCGGGGCTAAAACTGAAAGTCCTGTGGTAAGATTACCAATTTTGATTTGACAGTTATAACACCAAAAAGATTTTTGAGAAAAATGGAAGTTCCATATATATTATTGTCTAGAAATATCAGTGGGTCTCCGCCACAGTGTGCGATTTCTATGTTATTAAAGAGAATACAGGGTTGGCGGTAAGTATGGGCGTTAAAACATGTAGTATATCTTTCTCCGCAAAACTTCTATAGCAACAGTTGATATGCCAGCAGCTTAAAGTCTCTATAACAAAATTTATGAAATTTGCGGGAATTTCTTGTAATGCAAAAGGGGTTTCGGATTCTGCTTATAGCCATTGCGCCGTAGTCGCCCAGCAGCATGTATAGACCGTATATTTTGGAAAAAAAATTTAATCTTGTTAGGACACAGCCCTATTTTTCCGACTATGCTTTACATAACCTCATGTCCTGCTACACGATTGTCGTAATGGGTAGCCGGATCGTTAAAATGGGTACATTCTCCAAAAGCACCTTTCGACGCATTTAATAATTAGAAATAAGCTCCTAAAGTCTGTGTTTACGTGCAATAGCTCAGTTTTGTAGAAGTAAAGTATCGGGAATCTTCGCCTTTGACGTGCAAAAATAACTTTATTAAATTATATTTTGCATTGAAAATCTTGCGAACAAAATGTGACTTCTACATATGTAGAAGTCCATTTACCTTTATGCGCACTAGGACTTGTAAGCAGCTAATGCTGTTCCATCCAGAAGTGCACCTATTATTCTGTCACTGTGTACGAATTGTCTGCGCATAGGCCTTTGCCTTTGTCACCTTGATAAAAAAATGCATAAACCCTGGATTCTTCTTTGCAAAAAATTCAACTCGCTTCGAAAACACCTCACATATCGTATAATACGTAAGATTGAGAAGTTGAAACTTATTCTATTCCTTCAACGCTGCACGCTTGTTATCATGTTTTGAAATTTTTATCAGTTTTTCGGACGACTAAATCTCTTACAATAAAGGCCTAAGTGTGATCCGTGCTTTTCAGTGCAGGCTTTACTACTCTTTCTGTAGATTATTCAAGCCACAATCCATTGAAAGGGTTCTGCCAAAATTCTTAACCTGTCATTTCCTCTTGCTCGAAGTGCAGGTGTTTTTCGAAAATTCATTTCAGTGTTTCCTAAAAGCGTATACAGGGTGTCCCAAAAGTATGTATCGAACGTTTGATCGCTAATAACTCTCTTCCCAAGAAGTCTTTTGCCTTGCTTCAGGTACCGTTTTGTAGAGCTGGCTTCAACTTAGATTTGCATTGTAGAACGAATCACTCCTCTCTCTTCATTACTGTAGGATTACGGTAGAAACTTCAAGGAGGGTTTTAAGCAATGAAAGGCCATATTTTGCCCCAGAAAGGAAACAAAACAGCCTCAAAACTTTTACACTAGGCTAATTAGAGTTGCTGATTATAACTGTAAAGTTCCCAACTTATTATGATGCTTCATTGAAGAGTTATGCCAGGTAAGAAGTAGTGGCCATTCTTTCAATGTTCCTAAAAAGTGGGATTGCACCGTTTAGAAAGCTTCGTAATCTTGTGAATAGTTAATTATTGAACTCAGCGTCCATAAAAACCCTATTACACAAGTTTTCACGATTTTTTGAAAAATTTTGAAACGGCAGCTTTTTTCACATTAACACCATATGTTTCAAGTTTCTACCGTAATCCTACAGTAATGAAGAGAGATGAATGATTCGTTCTATAGTGCAAATCTAAGCTGAAGCCAGCTCTACAAAACGGTACCTAAAGCAAGGCAAAAGACTTTTTGGGAAGAGAGTTATTAACGATCAAACGTTCGATACATACTTTCGGGACACCCTGTATATGATGTATTTAGAACAAATCTCGGACTATACGGTGTTTTCAGATTCTTTTCACTTATGCTTAAATCTTCAAAAAATTACTAGAAGGTGATTCTCGATATTCTGAAACATAACTGCCGCAAGAGCATGAAAGCTTTCGAAATTTCTGCAAGTTGAGCCGATTGCTGAACATCATCTATGCAAAATAATTGAGATTGCTTTGCCTTAAAAAATCAAATTTTTCAAGTTTCGATACTCCTACGTGCTTCATGAGTGCTCAAAAAGCCCAAATTTATCACAGTCTTCGAAAACTTGATCAATGGGATTTGATATGAGTGTGGTTTGGCCAAGAGAGAATTTCTCGCCACTGTAAGCTAGTCAAAGAACTATGACGGTAACAATGAGACAGCACAAGTTAGAGGGAAAATGTAGCTGTGGAAAGGGGATAGAAATTTGAATCGAATTATGCAGGCGTCCATCGATCGGTCTTCCGTGAGTTATAACCGATCAAATGACCGCCAAAACTTTCGGGACAACCTAATATGTTTTGACACAAAGTATACGTGAGAAGAAAAACGCTATGTTACGAAGACTGTTGCAGAATATCATCCTTGTTCATTTTGTAAACAAAAAAAGATGCATTCTTTCCTTTTCCAAAATTTCGTAGATCATTCGAATAGCTTATAGAATATGTAAATGGAATATACCTGAATTACATTTTTCTTTACTTTTTACTTTAATTTACTTTACTAATTTCTTTACTTAAATTTCTTTACTTTTCTGAAATTTCGTAGATCATTCGAATGTTTCATAGAATATGTAAATGGAATATACCTGAATTTTACTTTTTTGGCCGAATATGGTTTTGGAGAATCACATAGTTAGAGTCTGAGTTCATTAATGGAGTGATATCGTAGAAAATTGTGCCAATAATTTTAGAAAGTTTCCATATTTTAAGGCCTCATGATTTCAAACTAAGAAAATATTCGATTCTGGTATGTTGCAACTCAAAAGCTCAAATTTTAAACTTGTATATAATGTCACCTGTCCTGTCACCCTGATGTAAGCCTATTTAATTTATTCCATTATCACTTTGTTGTCTCGAATAACAATCACATGTATGGATTTTCTCTGCTGATTTTGATATGTTTTATAGAATACAAATAAGTTGCTGGATTTTCTTCCCTTGGTTCCTTGAACGCAGATCGAGAATTGGAGAAACGTGATGCTTCCAAAGTCAATTTATTGTACAAGATACAGCATTTTGCTACCAATTTTTTTGGGAAAATGTAGCAAAGTCGGTATAACGCAACTGATTAAATTTTCAAAACTTGCACTTGCCTGGGATTCCCATTGTCCCCAGAAAAACAAGCACAATGAGTTGTTCCGAAGACATTTTTCAGATAGGAAGCTGCACAAACCTGAAAAATAAAACTCTTTTAGTGCTTGTTGCAAGTGGCCTACAGCTGCGCCCTTCGTTTTATGAAGCTTGTTGGACATTGAAGAGATGGGCTTATCGCTTTCAAAACTTAAATGAGTTTTTTAAAGCTTTGAAATCCTGCTTTTTATTTTTAGATGGCCCGTTTTCGACGATAAGGGTCTTAGTGTTAGGTTTGGATGCTTTACATAATTACTAGAAAACAAGAGCATCAGCTTTCTAGAGAGGAAGAAGTGCGAGAAAAAGCTGAGTCAGCTTTTCAAAGAGGTT